CAGTCCGATCGATATAAATAGTGCATCTCAAAAATATAGAAATATCCTGAAGAAGGCCGCAGCGTACAACCGCTGAAACGTCGTGAATATGACAATAAAGATGAGGACAAGAGTCCAAAGAATGTAAACAGTGTAAATAGTTACAATACCTCATCTCAGAAATATAGACAGGTCCTGAAGAAGGCCTGAGCGTACAACGGTCGAAACGACGTGAATATGAAAATAAAGATAGGGATAAGAGTCCGAACAATGTAAATAGTGTAAATAGTTGCACTACCTTATCGCAGAAATAAAGACAGGCCCTGAAGAAGGCCGAAGCGTACAACGGCCGCAACGTTATGAATATGGCAATAAAGATGAGGACAAGCGTCCGAACGATGTAAATAGTGTAAATAGCTATAATACCTCATCTCAGAAATATAGAGAGATATAAACCGCTGGTGCTGTTATTATACTACAGGTCCTTACAGGGGCTTTTTATAACTTTAGAGACCAATCCACCCCTATTCCGCTAGATGGTCTCTAACCCTACGTTTCATCCCCCCTTTATCAATCTTTTTTTTTTTTTTAAATCCTTGTGAGTATCTAGCTACCGTCTGTAACAGAAAATCTTGGTTTACAAAGAATCGGTAGGGATCTCAAGTAAACTCGAACATGGCAGACATTTTGCGTGCTCTATACGTTCATTTTCTATGATTGCTTTCAAATATAATGAGTTCATTCTTACATTTGACTATAGAGTTAATCATATCGATAAAATCCTAGATTACTTGTACAGGAAATATAACTACTGCTGTTACATAATCTTACTTATTATAAAACGCAGATTGTGTGTGTGTGTGTGTGTGTGTGTGTGTGTGTGTGTGTGTGTGTGTGTGTGTACGTTTATATATTGGATCGGATTTCCTACATTTTTCAACTGGTTTCAACAAAATTTCACAGGACTACGTAAAATTACCTTGCGGTGGTTCTGACAGCGCCAAAATTTGGAAAAACACAATTGTTTTTGCACGAAATCAATTTGAAAACACGATTAAGAGGCATCGCAAGAATGAAAGGGAGACAACTCATATCGAGTTATACTTATATCGAGTTATCGAGTTGTACTTATTAAAAAACCCAGGTTGGTTGTTTGGTTGTGTGTGTGTGTGTGTGTGTGTGTGTGTGTGTGTGTGTGTGTGTGTGTGTTCGTTTATATATGGGATCGGATTTCCTACTTTTTTCAACCGATTTCAACAAAACTTCACTTTTTCTTTGGCAGGTAGTGTTTCTTATTGTCTTGCACACTTTTTTCTTTATTTTTACATTCAGAATGCTTTTAAAATTCCATTTACGAGACAATTGTTTATAATAAAATTCTATTCAATCGGTAGACTCATAACGATTGAAAGCAATTGACCAATTCGTAAAAAAAAAACTAATTAAGACATGCGTGTCCGTCAACCTTAAACAATAATCTTTGTCTATTTTATTTTTCAGTCTTTATGATGGTCGATACTTGATCTATCTCTTACTGTTATATCCCGGGTAACGCCGGGCTCTACTGCTAGTTACTTATATATGGCCGTCATGTTTTGACCTTATGGAGCGCATTAGCTTCCTTGAGAAATTTTTCCTTTTAATGAGTAAAAAACAAATATTTCTTACTTACACACGATAAAAGACCACAATATATAAATTTTAGATTTCACATGCAGAAAATATAAAACTTACAATAGAAAAATTATTTTAAAATAGCCATTTTTTTATGATCTCTGTTGAGTTAGCGTTCTTTAAGTATTTTTACTTTTAATAATTTTAAAAGCTTAATTTTTTCTTACAGACAACAAGAGACTTCATAGAAAACATAAAAGTAGAAAATTGCTCAGCATATATAATAGGAACACAATTTCAATATGGCCGCCATTTTTGAGCGATACGGATCATCTTTGCATTCTCTGAACATTTTTACTTTAAATGATTTTAAATTCTGAATTATTTCTTACATAAAATAATTGTATACATAAAAATACTAGCTTACTTATACAGCAAAGATAACCAATGCAAATGACTTAATTATGGCCGCCATTTTTTACTGTACGCGTTGTGCTAAATTTCTTGCGTTATTTCTAATTTTAAGGATTTTAAATTCTGAATTATTTCTTCAGTTCAAATAGATCCTTGTGCCATATCTTATCAGCTGCAGCTTAAGAAACACAGTTATACGTCTTTCTGCCTCCCCATTGATCTTTAACATTACTGTCTGTGTTAACTTTCTCGGATTATTTCTACTTTTCATTATTTTAAATTCTGTATTCTTTCTTACATAAAATAATACAGTTAATTGTATGCCTAAAAATACTAGCTTATTTATATAGCAATCATAACCAATGCAATTGCAAAATGACTTAATTATGGCCGCCATTTTTAACATTACTGGCTGTGTTAACTTTCTAGAATTAATTTTTACTTTACATTATTTTAAATTCTGTATTCTTTCTTACATAAAATAATAGAGTTAAGTGTATACATAAAAATACTAGCTTATTTATACAGCAATCATAACCAATGCAATTGCAAAATGACTTAATTATGGCCGCCATTTTTTCACGGTACGGATTCTGTCAACTTTCTTATTTTATTTGTATTTTAATGATTTTAAATTCTGAATTATTTCTTACAGAAATACAATAGAGTTAATTGTGTAGATGAAAAAAAAAACTAGCTTACTTATACAGAAAACACAATCAATACAATTACAATATGCCTTAAATATTCCCACCATTTTTTGACAGTGTGGTGTGTGTTAACTTGTTATTTCTACTTTCAATGATTTTTAATACTTTTTTTTTTATTCTTTCCTACGTCCAACAAGAGACTTCTTTGAAAAGATAAAAATACAAGTTTGCCCCAAATAAATATAATGAGCAGAATTACTTAAATATGGTCGTCATTCTTTGATCAGCATTGGTTATTTTTACATGAAAAGATTTGAAATTTAGAAGTTTTTCTTACATAGAATAATAGAGTTAATTCTATATAGAAATATCCTAGCTTACTCATGCAGAAATTTTTACCAATACAATGAGAAAATTAATAGGCGGTATGACTCGTGTTAGCTTCCTCAGGATATATTTTTAGTTATAATGATTTCAAAATCTGTATTCTTTCTTACACGCGACAATGTAGAGATGAAATCTCCGAGCTTATTCACACAGAAATCAGAACCAATGAAATAGCAACATTAATTAATTACGCAGCTATTTTCTTGACACTACGGATAAACTTTCTCGGGTAAGTTTCACTTTTAATGATTTTAAAAGCTTAATTCTTTTTAAAAGCTTGAAATAAATTAATTGAAAAAATAAAACCAGTAACTGTCTATATCTCTGAGATGAGGTATTATGATTACTTATATTATTTACATTATTTGAACTGTTATCCTCATTATCTTCATTGTCATATTCACAACGTTTAGGCCGTTGTACCTTCCGGCCATCTTCAGGTGATTAGATCTCTGAGATGAGGTATTATGATTACTTGCATTATTTACATTATTCGGACTGTTATCCTCATCATCGTCATTGCCATATTCATAACGTTTCGGCCGTTGTACGCTCCGGCCTTCTTCAGATGTATTGGAATTTCGAACCGAAACTTTTATTTCGTCCACCGAGATAGATAGTTCTAGTTCCGCGTACCATGCCTCTTCTAGATGTCTCAGTTATTTCCCTTTAACTCAACTCTCCAAGTCTTGGTTCCCCACTGCTGTGGCCCGGTATTGAATTCACAAGTCTTTGGATCTAGTCACTAACCAACGTCTTTATCTACTTGGCCATGTGTTCTTGAGGAATGTTGTGAAGATGAGGATAACAATCCGAATAATGTCAGTAATGCAAGTAATCATAATACCTCATCTCAGAGATCCAACCACCTGAAGAAGACCGTAGCGTATAACGGCCGAAATGTTCTGAATATGGCAATGAAGATGAGAGAGAAAAGTCCGAATAATGTAAATAGTGTAAGTACTCTACAGTAAGTTTTAAAAGTTTCATCACTTTTTTATATTACGGCCCTCCCTATGTCATCATTTCTCTTCACGTTATCTATGCTTATTACACAACTATTTACTACTTTCTTAATGATAAGTGTGATTGGCTCGATAAGCCCACGTTAGCAGCTGATCTCAAAGATAACCTACAATCCGTTGTTAACTGGGGCAAGAAATGACATGTCTATTCTAACAACTCCTTTTAATTTTCTGAGGTAAACTTTTTCCCTTCAATCAGCATGGCTGAGGCTAACCTCCATGAGAGTACTTCTAGGTGCCTTCTCGGGCTGAAGTTTTCCGTTGCCATGGTCTGCTGCTTATTGGTTCACTGTGCCGTACTAGACATTTTTCCCGCCCAAAATTATCTTACACATTTATAAGTCTACCATTCGTCCATATATTTAATATATCTGCTATATCTAGTCCAGTGCTTCTGCTGTCTATTGAGAGAATCTTGATAAAATACAAATCAGAATCTGTAATGTTATCGGCCCTTACCTGGCATCAAGGCTTCAGTCACTTTTCCACAGCCGTCATGATCTTCTAAATATCTTAATGATAATTTATCTAATGGTTTCTCGATATTACGAATTTAAACATACTTGTAGATTGGCAGTTAGGTCTCATCTTTTTGCAGTTGAAATTGCTAGATGTAACCGTAATTTCTGTGCTAACAGATTTTTTTTCTCTCGCACTATTCGCTTCTGAATTCTTGCTTTCAGATTAACTACTATCTTCATCATTTTAAATGCAACATCAATGACTATCTGATGCCTTTCTGAAATCCGTTCTTTTATTGTCCTTTCTCCCCACTAAAGTTTTCTCACTTTCTTTCAATCCTCAATAATCAAAGTGCGTCTCCGTGACATTATCACATTGGTGTGAAATGATTAGTGAAAATGAATAAAAAAAACGGTACAAAATTTAATAATAGCGATTAAAACAAGGTTCAAAATAAAAGGGAGAAGAACTAAAAAGAAATGTACCAAAAATAGTGAATAACAAAAAAGGAGAGCAACAAGAAAGGGGAGTAAAAAAGGAGAGTAATAAAAAGGTGAGTATCAAAAAGGAGACTATAAAAAAGGAAAATAACAAAAAGGAGAGTATATAAGAGAGTAGGAAAAGGAGAGTAGAAAAAAGAGAGTAGAAAAAGGAGAGTAACAAAAAAGGAGTGTAACAAAAAGGTGAGTATCAAAAAGGAGACTATAAAAAGGAGAGTAACAACAAAAGAGAGTAACAAAAACGAGAGTAAAAAAAAGAGAGTAACAAGGAGTGTAACAAAAAAGGAGAGTAACAAAAAGGAGAGTAACAAAAAAGGAGAATAACAAAAAGGAAAATAGCAAAAAGGAGAGTAGAAAAGAGAATAGAAAAAGGAAGTAGAAAAAAGTATAAAAAGGAGAGTAACAACAAAAGAGAGTAACATAAAGGAGAGCAACAAAAAGGAGAGTAACAAAAAAGGAGAGTAACCAAAAGGAGAGTAGCAAAAAAGGAGAATAACAAAAAAAGGAGAGTAGCAAAAAAGGAGAATAAAAAAAAGGAGAGTAACGCTAAGGAGAGTAATGCAAAGAAGAGTAACAAAAAGATGAGTATCAAAAAGGAGACTATAAAAAGGAGAGTAACAAAAAAGGAAAGTAACGCAAGGGAGAGTAACAAAAAGGTGAGTATCCAAAAGGAGACTAAAAAAAGGAGATTAACAACAAAAGAGGGTAACAAAAAGGAGAGTAACAAAAAAGGAGAGTAACAAAAAAGGAGAGTAAAATAAGGAAAGTAACAAAAAAGGAGAGTAACAAAAAAGGAGAGTAAAATCAGGAGAGTAACTAAAAAGGAGAGTAACAAAATGGTGATTAACAAAAAAGGGGAGTACAGAAAAGGAAAGTAACAATTATTCAATTATTGTTTTACATTTTTTCTCATATACTTTCACCCGCGTTAATAGCTGTGTTACTGTGTTTGGTATGAAATAATTAAAAAAAAAACATGAAAATAGTTGCTGTACTTACAGTTCTTCGAGGTGAGGTAAATGTGCAAACGCATAATTTGGCAGTTGCGATATTCTGTTCACGCTGAGGTCCCTGCAACATAAAAAAATTAAGAATTATAAATGAAGTGGCGGAAGTGAAATTAACTGTTATCCTTTATAATCAAATATTTTTCTTTTCTTTTATTGCTCAAGCTCCTAAATAAAGTTTTTCTTATAGTCCTTCACACTCAGTAAACGCCCGTCCCGCGTGTTAGTGGCTTTGTTGTCTTGCTTGGTGTTACATGATTAATATATATATATATATATATATATATATATATATATATAAGCTTACGGAGGTGGTGAGGTCTCACACTTATACACACATCCATACAAATATATACACTTACACACTTCATACACACTACCGTCGAACGAAATGATAACATACACTTAACACAGACACATCCCCTTCCCAGGAACCAATAAAACTGTCAAAATGACCTAGGCAATTCAGGGTAGCATGAATCTATTCAGCGTCTGTCTTAAAAAAACAACTCAAAAGATGACCATCACAAGGACTGTCCAAAATTAACCTCTAAAAAACATGAAAACTACTGATAAAATTCATTTTCTTCAGAAAGTCATTCATTCCTGTAGTTCACTGTTACTAACAAGCAGATTTTTTTTCTCCTGATGATGGGCATGTTGGCCAGAGAAACTAGTCGAGGAATCTAATTGAAATAATAAAACAAGACAAATATTAATATACAACCCAGTGTGTCTGAAAAATGAATTTTTTAATTTCACAATATTTTTAGTGTTCAAAACATACACACACACACACATATTATATACATACATACATACACACACACACACACACACAGATATTATATACATACACACACACACACACACACACACACACACACATATATATATATATATATATATATATATATATATATATATATATAAACGCTGGACAATCTCCTCGAAGATAAAGAGACTTAAAACAACAGAAATGCGGATCAACAGAAGGATTCCGAGGATAGCATGAAAAACTTTATATATATATATAAATTAACAGGAGTAGATAGGTTCTCTTATTGTGCGGATCGAACAGGAGTAGAGGTTTATCCATTGTTTCATGTTTAGGATTGGGTTTCCGGTTCCTTCTGTCTGCTTCAGTTCTACATCTCTAAAACTCTATCTTGAGTGGCCATGGGCCTTGTATTGCGTGAACATGAGTAAAAACATATATAATGTAAATTGTCTGTGTGTGTGTGTGTGTAATAGTTATTGGTTCGGTGTATGGCAGCAAACGCTGAACACTCTCCTCAAAGATGAAGAGACTTAAAACAACAGAAATGCGGATCTACAGAAGGATGCTTAGGATACAATGGACCGAACATGTGAACAACGATGAGGTTTTAGAGAAAATGGAAACAAAAAGGAAACTTATACTTAACATCAGGAAGAAGCAGTTGAAATTTCTACAGAAGGATGCTGAGGATACCATTGACTGAACATGTGAGCAACGACGAGGTTTTAGAGAAAATTGAAAGGAAAAGGAAACTTATACTTAACATCAGGAAGAGGCAGTTGAAATTTCTACAGAAGGATGCTGAGGATACCATGGGTTGAACATGTGAGCAACGACGAGGTTTTAGAGAAAATGGAAACGAAAAAGAAACTTATACTTAACATCAGGAAGAGGTATTTGAAATTTCTACAGAAGGATGCTGAGGATACCATAGACCGAACATGTGAGCAACGACGAGGTTTTGGAGAAAATGGAAACAAAAAGGAAACTTATACTTAACATCAGGAAGAGGCAGTTGAAATTTCTACAGAAGGATGCTGAGGATACCATTGACTGAACATGTGAGCAACGACGAGGTTTTAGAGAACGTGGAAACGAAAAGGAAACTTATACTTAACATCAGGAAGAGGCAGTTGAAATTTCTACAGAAGGATGCTGAGGATACCATGGACCGAACATGTGAGCAACGACGAGGTTTTAGAGAAAATGGAAACGAAAAGGAAACTTATACTTAACATCAGGAAGAGGCAGTTGAAATTTCTACAGAAGGATGCTGAGGATACCATGGACCGAACATGTGAACAACGATGAGGTTTTAGAGAAAATGGAAACAAAAAGGAAACTTATACTTAACATCAGGAAGAAGCAGTTGAAATTTCTACAGAAGGATGCTGAGGATACCATTGACTGAACATGTGAGCAACGACGAGGTTTTAGAGAAAATTGAAAGGAAAAGGAAACTTATACTTAACATCAGGAAGAGGCAGTTGAAATTTCTACAGAAGGATGCTGAGGATACCATGGGTTGAACATGTGAGCAACGACGAGGTTTTGGAGAAAATGGAAACGAAAAAGAAACTTATACTTAACATCAGGAAGAGGTATTTGAAATTTCTACAGAAGGATGCTGAGGATACCATAGACCGAACATGTGAGCAACGACGAGGTTTTAGAGAAAATGGAAACAAAAAGGAAACTTATACTTAACATCAAGAAGAGGCAGTTGAAATTTCTACAGAAGGATGCTGAGGATACCATGGACCGAACATGTGAGCAACGACGAGGTTTTAGAGAACGTGGAAACGAAAAGGAAACTTATACTTAACATCAGGAAGAGGCAGTTGAAATTTCTACAGAAGGATGCTGAGGATACCATGGACCGAACATGTGAGCAACGACGAGGTTTTAGAGAACGTGGAAACGAAAAGGAAACTTATACTTAACATCAGGAAGAGGCAGTTGAAATTTCTACAGAAGGATGCTGAGGATACCATGAACCGAACATGTGAGCAACGACGAGGTTTTAGAGAAAATGGAAACGAAAAGGAAACTTATACTTAACATCAGGAAGAGGCAGTTGAAATTTCTACAGAAGGATGCTGAGGATACCATGGACCGAACATGTGAGCAACGACGAGGTTTTAGAGAACGTGGAAACGAAAAGGAAACTTATACTTAACATCAGGAAGAGGCAGTTGAAATTTCTACAGAAGGATGCTGAGGATACCATGGACCGAACATGTGAGCAACGACGAGGTTTTAGAGAAAATGGAAACGAAAAGGAAACTTATACTTAACATCAGGAAGAGGCAGTTGAAATTTCACAGAAGGATGCTGAGGATACCATGGACCGAACATGTGAGCAACGACGAGGTTTTAGAGAACGTGGAAACGAAAAGGAAACTTATACTTAACATCAGGAAGAGGCAGTTGAAATTTCTACAGAAGGATGCTGAGGATACCATGGACCGCACATGTGAGCAACGACGAGGTTTTAGAGAAAATGGAAACAAAAAGGAAACTTATACTTAACATCAGGAAGAGGCAGTTGAAATTTCTACAGAAGGATGCTGAGGATACCATGGGTTGAACATGTGAGCAACGACGAGGTTTTAGAGAAAATGGAAACATAAAGGAAACTTCTACTTAACATCAGGAAGAGGCAGTTGAAATTTCTACAGAAGGATGCTGAGGATACCATGGGTTGAACATGTGAGCAACGACGAGGTTTTAGAGAGAATGGAAACAAAAAGGAAACTTCTACTTAACATCAGAAAGAGGCAGTTGAAATTTCTACAGAAGGATGATGAGGATACCATAGACCGAACATGTGAGCAACGACGAGGTTTTAGAGAAAATGGAAACAAAAAGGAAACTTATACTTAACATCAGGAAGAGGCAATTGAAATTTCTACAGAAGGATGATGAGGATACCATAGACCGAACATGTGAGCAACGAGTTTTTAGAGAAAATGGAAACGAAAAGGAAACTTATACTTAACATCAGGAAGAGGCAGCTGAAATTTCTACAGAAGGATGCTGAGGATACCATGGACCGAACATGTGAACAACGACGAGTTTTTAGAGAAAATGGAAACGAAAAGGAAACTTCTACTTAACATCAGGAAGAGGCAGTTGAAATTTCTACAGAAGGATGCTGAGGATACCATGGACCGAACATGTGAACAACGACGAGTTTTTAGAGAAAATGGAAACAAAAAGGAAACTTATACTTAACATCAGGAAGAGGCAGTTGAAATTTCTACAGAAGGATGATGAGGATACTATGGACCGAATATGTGAGCAACGACGAGGTCACATACTTGATTGACTTGAATACTCATTGGTATAATAGGGATTGGAGGAAGTAACAAAAAAACAAAACTTACTAAGAATTACACGGACCATAAAGACATGGGGAGCCCTGATTACTGATATTCTTTAGGGACACGGAACTTACAGAAGAATGAGGACAAACTTTTTGGCCAACCAAAAATGTTCTTGCCCTTTAGCCTATAAGTCAGACAGCAGATTGACTGGTGTCGCAAGCCTTGGGCAGCAGCTAATCTAGTAGAATGAATACACTGAATTTTAAATCGTTAAAAAAAAAACCGCAGGGGATAATTGCACCTCATACAAAACTCTCTGCCAAAGACACCACAGCCCAACATGTTAGACCTATTCTCCAGGGGTTGCCTAATGGTAACGATAAAGATAATATTAGCCGTTTACTTATGAGGAAACATTGGGCATTGTTGTAAGCGCCTCCAAATGATGCCATTAGCACGTCGAAACATTTGAGATTGTTGTAAGCGTCCTCCAAATGATCCATCAGCATGTCGAAACATTTGGCATTGTTGTAAGCGGCCTCCAAATGATGCCATCAGCACATCGAAACATTTGGCGTTGTTGTAAGCGGCCTCCAAATGATGCCATCAGCACATCGAAACATTTGGCATTGTTGTAAGCGGCCTCCAAATGATGCCATCAGCACATCGAAACATTTGGCATTGTTGTAAGCGGCCTCCAAATGATGCCATCAGCACGTCGAAAAATCTGGCAATAGTTGTAAGCTGCCTCTAAATGATCCCATCAGCACATCGAAACATTTGGCATTGTTGTAAGCGGCCTCCAAATGATGCCATCAGCACATCGAAACATTTGGCATTGTTGTAAGCGGCCTCCAAATGATGCCATCAGCACATCGAAACATTTGGCATTGTTGTACGCGGCCTACAAATGATC